AAAATTTAAAATAAGTGAAACAGATATGTAAGAGTAAAATAAGAGAAATCAGCAATTTGTAACAATTTAAAAAATAAATATAGAAAGTCAAATCAAATCAACACATGACAAGAGAGTGTCGGTCCAGACTGGTGCTGACAGTGTGCTATGGATAAAGGGTCCTGATTCACTCCAAAGCCTGTGCAAGGTGGGGCAGAGGAGGACTGCAAAGCAGGTCCTGAACATGTCCCAAATGTGTGCATCCACCTGGGTGTTTCCAGCCTGCTGTGTACACAGGGCATAACTCAGGCCACACCCGGTTTTACCCCAAAACAGCTGTCACATCATTTATACATTTGTAGTACACACACACACGCATGCGCACACACACACACATCACATCATCCATCCTCACTGGCATCCTTTGAGGTCCACTTTCCTAGAGGAGTGAAGTCACTGTGCCACAGTCACACACTACTTAAGACCACTCTATATTTGGAAACTGGGCTCCGAATGACCTTGTTCGACAAGTCAGGTCAGTTAGGCGAGACCATTCACAGAGTCAGGGTCACATGTGACATTAGACTGAAATGTTTTATCTCTAGAAAAGTCCATGTCCCGTGATGCAGGAGCACGAGCACCATTAATTGAGCACCCAGTGTCTTCTGGGGGGTCACATGCATAGTCCTCTTCACCTTCAGGAATCTGCCTGGTGCAGATGCTATTACTGGCCTTATTGTCTGGGTAGACACCTAGACTGGCCTCTGCACAGTGCTCACTAGCTGTTCAAGGGCCGCATCATCATGCGAGAGGTGCGGAGTGAGGAGGTAGAGCCTGGGGAGGAGCTGTCCCAGCGGATGCCATTGATCTTGAGCTTGTGCTGGCCGGCTGGGTGGTAGACGCCATTGAGGTTGGAGATGCCGCAGGCATCAAACCACCATCCTGTGGAAGAGGGAGACATGGGCCAATTGGCTATCGCCTCCTGGGCACCAGCTGGCTGGGGGGTTGGGGGAGGGGGTGGGCAACAGATCTTCTGCTCAGGCAGAGCCTCTAGAGGGCAGTGTGGGCTCTGGCCACCCCTCCAGGCCACTGCACATTCTTACATTTCTCCAGAATCCTCTGCATTCTGTGTCCCTCCCTCACTGACCTTTCAACCTTCTGGCTCCCTCACAGTTCCATGTTACCTCCCTGGGTATCTGGTGGTCTCCGTCTCTCTCTGTGAGTCTCTCCCTCATGGAGGTCTCCATGTGTGTGTCGCACTGTGCCTCTCTCTGGCTGAGTCATTCTTCCCTGCTGGATGCCTTGGTCTCTGTCTGCCCAGGTCTCTGTCCCCACGCACTCAGTCCTTTTCTGGCCATGCTCAGGGCTGCACTTCTCTCCAGCTCTCCCTGTGCCTGCCTTCCCTGTCCCAGGGCAGCTCTGTCTCCACTGCTCTCATTTCTATCAGCCTCTGTCTCTCTCTGTCCCCATCTGTCCCTGTCTCTGTGGCTAAGGTCTCTCCTGTCTCTGTCCTTCCTGCTCTGTCTCTGACTCATCTCATCTCCCCCTCTCTGACCTCTGTCCCAGCCCAGAGCACTGCCTGAGCCAGAGTTGGTGGGGAGCCGTCCCCTGCCACACCCTGACCTCTGGGTTAGGAGGAGGGTACCCTCAAGAGGACCTTAAGACCCTGTTAGGGAAGGTGCATCTGACCCTTACTTACCTCCAGACATCATCGCTGCACAATTGCAGACACAGTTGTCATGGTCTGCATCTCGGGTGCTGAAGGTGTTGTTCCCTATGATCAGGTGACCCCGGGGAGATGCCATGCCACTGTGCTTGTCCAGAAAAATCCTGGAGGTCCCCCAGAGAGGGAGATAGAAGCGAGCAGAGTCAGGTTGTGACCATGTTGAGGAAAGGCCTCCCTCGGGGGCTTTGCCCAGGCTGGGTCCCTCCTGTGGTGTTTAGAGGGGAGCCCCAGCCTGGGTGTGGTCCCAGGGCCACTTTACTCAGGATCATCCTCTCCTGCTGCCTCTCAGGAACAAAGAACCTACTGTGTGCTGGGCCCTCCTCACCTCATCGACTAGGTCTTGCAGAGGAGTCACAATGACCATAAGAAGGACAAAAGCTGACAGTTTTTGAGCCTTTACCAGGGAAGAGGCATTGTCCAAAGCCATTTGCAGTGGCTGACTCATTCTCATCTAAGTCTCATGACACCCTTTCCACACAAGGAGATGGGATCCCAAGAGCACAAGAACCTGCCCAAGGTCTCAGGACCAAGCAGGGTCAGAGTCAGATTCTGACCCAGTGTGGCCTGATTGGGGACCCACATGCATTTCCTCACCCACTCATCACCCCGTACCCTGGTCCCTTCACAACTCCTTGTGTTCACTTGCCTCTCCCAGGAAGCCCTCTGTGAGCACAGCAGCCTGCACAGGGCTACTTCCAGGGCACCCCCAGCCCTGTGGCCTATGCATCAGCAGGCAGCTGGGGGAGGGGGAGTTATATTCCTTGGCCAGACTCTGCAGTCCTGGCAGGCACAGCCAAGGCTGCCTGGTGCTGATGGCCATTAACCTGGATTCAAACCCCAGCTCTGCCATTCGGTGGCTGCATGGCCTTGGGAAGATTGCTTTACTTCCCCGAGCCTCAGTCTCTTCACCTGTGAATGTGGCAACCACAGAAATATTGACAGTAATGTTATTGTGTGATTTGGTGACATCAGTGTGTAGAGTATGCAGGTTAGTGAGTTCTGGGCACACGTAGTGTTTGCTGTGACTTGACCCCTGGCATATAATCGAGCCTGGCTGGAAGACTGCAGGGAGGGGCTGCGCCTATAGCAGGGGCACAAGCCAGTTGGGAGCTGTTAATTTCCCATAGGATGAAGGTGAATGGACTGCAGGTGTAGCCAGGGCAGCTCAAGGAAGTGCTGGTTCCCACGGCAGGGTCTGGGAGATGCCCCTGGTGCAACCCAAGGGAATGTGGGGCTGGGTAAGTGGTGGGTGCCGTCCCCTCAGCTTTCACCAATGGGCTCTGTCTGTCTTGGGTGAAAAAGGGTGTGGCCCTTGGGCTCCCAATGGCTGTGACAGCCTTGACATCCTTCTGTGTGCTTAAACATGCCACCCTGAGCTCTCGGGCTGGTGTGGCACAGCCCCCTGCAAAGAGGCTGCCTGGCTAGGGGTGCCCTGGAAAGGACTCACTGCCCAACCACTATTATGATTCTGACTTCTCCCTGTGACCATTACGAGTCCCCTGGGGTGCTCAGTGCTGTCTGCCCCTCCACCCTGGGAACAAGAATAGGGTTGGTGACCTCTAAGGAACCCACATCATGGACCAGGGAACCCCCACTAACCCACTGTTCAGGTGCACGTTAAGCACATTTATGGCTCAGGCCTGAGGAAGCCCAAAGTGAGACACATCAGGTATGTTATCCATGTGTCCTCACAGAGCCTGCAAGTCTGTTTTTTGACACCTGGATACAGTTTCCTGTGCCCACATGTAGATGTGTGTGTGGGTGTTGAGTTTGCCCTGGAAGAGCCACTGTGGCCAAAGTGTGCCCTCCAGGTTCAGCCCTTGGATCTGGGCATTTTGTTTCCCCGGGAGGGGTTTTGGGAGCCACACTTACACATGTGTCTGTGCTCAGAGTATGCTCATTTGTATAACTATGCACATGTGAACAGTATGTGTGTGTGCAACCTGTGCACACCCAGGGGTGTGGGGAGACCTTCCACAGTACAAGTTGGTTATGCGGCAACCTGAGCATCTCTGTGAGCTGTCTGCACTTGCATTCAGGTCTGGGTGTGTGTGCACCTCTGGGAAGCAGATGTGCAGGCACCTCATCTGTGGCTCCTGGGGGCTACTTCCTCTGTAGGCTCTGTAAGCAGCCCTGCTGAAGTTCCATTACTATGTCTGACAAACAAGGGTGCCCCTCACACCTGGATGTCCACTCCCCACCTGCTCACTGTGCACCTTTACCCTGGGCTTCCCTGTGGGACCTGCATGCCCAAGGAGATACTTGACCCTGGAGGATGGGTCCCCAGGAACAGTGTCTCTTGTCCTTCTCTCCATGGCCCATACTCTAGAGTTTCCAGGATCCCAGTCTCCCACTCTTTTCCTGGATGACCACATAACTATGATCCCAACAGACCTCGCAAGGGTCTCCCTCAGGCTTGGGATAGGGGTGGCCCAGCTGGAGGTCACCTCTGAATTTTTCAGAATATGCCCACTCCCTGGGGCACCCTTCCTATCTGCTCTCTATATGAGCAGAGTCCACTCATGACAGCCATCACCTCCTTCCAGAATTATTCTCTGATTGTACAGCATTTCCAGGTTCCCCATGCCTTCCCCTTGGCAGCCATTCCCTACACTGGTAAAGGGCACCTGTGGATATCATAAGCCACTCCCACAACAGAATGGGAGCAACTTTGAAAGAGTGGATTCCAGACTGCCACCCCCAGTGCCAAAGAGCAGAGCTGCCTCCAGTGCTAAGGAGGTGAGATGTGTGGGTACCAGCAGCACACATCTCCCTCCCTGCCATTGAAAAGAGAAGACACTTAAACAAGTCTCAAAACCAGACTCCCAACTACTCAGCCAAAAAGAATGAGAAACTAGAGCCATTTATAGCTGAATGGATACATATTGAGGCCATACTCTTAAGTGAAATAAATAAGTCACACATGTGTAAAATACCAATAGATTCTCTAGTGTGAGAAACAGAGTGAAAATAAGGATTAACAGGATTAATAACTAATAATTGATACTTTGAAATAGGAAAAGGTCCAAAGGGGTAGGGGTGGTGGGAGGAAATGGGGAAAGGAAAGAATGGAAAGGAAAACTTATGAGAAAAGAAAAAATAATGGAAACGAAGTATGTAAATAGGGAAGAGTGGAGGGGTGAAGGGCGCACAGGTAATGGGGAAAAAATAAGAACCAAGATACATCATGTACAGGTACAAGAACCCAATGATAAATGTAAAAATATTATATACCTAAAATGTAACAATAAAAGAATTTAAGAAAAAAAAAAAAAAAAGACTCCCAGATCACCTAAAGCAACCCCAAAGGGAAACAAGATGGAACAATCTAATACTCAACAACCTGGATTCCCTGAACTGGCAAGAAATGGGGATCTGGAAAAAATAAAATCAGAAATAATTTCTCAGATAACAGCAGAGATTGTGTCCATACTGCAAGACATGATCAATAAGTCTAGAGAGGACACACATAAAAAAAATAGAGGAGCTGAGGAACATGATGGAATCTCAACATAAGAAACAAATGGAATCCATAAAACACATACAAACAGATTTACAGGAGATTAAAAACTCCATTGAAAGTTTATATAGCAGAATGAGCTAATGTGAGGACAGAATTTTAGATATAGAAGATAAGATTGCAATTAGTGATCAGGAAAAGAAAAATTTCTTTAAAATTGTAAGGGACCACAAGAAATCAATCCAGCAACTGCTAGATAATGCAAAGAAAAAACTGTTCATAGAAGTGATGGCAGAAAACTTCCCAAGGAGGGGAAAAGACCTTGACATACAGATAAGTATGTCAGATAGGACTTCAACTAGCCTTGATTAAAAAAAAATCTACACATAGGCATATAACAGTTAAGATTCCAGAAACTGAACAGAAGAAGAAAGATCTACAAACAATTAGAGAAAAGAAACAAATTACATACAAAGGAAAACCCATCAGAATCACGGCAGACTTCTCAACGCAAACCCTCAAGGCAAGAAGAGCTTGGAGTGACATATTCCAAGCCCTAAAGGAAAACAGCCTCCAACCCAGCCTGATGTACCCTGCAAAACTGTCTTTCAAAATTGATGGGCAAATAAGATACTTTCATGACAAAGAGCACCTTAGGAACTTCATGAATACCAAACCAGCATTCCAAAAAATTTTAGACAATAGCCTAGGAAAAGACAATGAGGATCACAACTCCAGGAAGCCCAGAAGAGTGAATCCATCAGGCACAACAAGAAGTTAAAGGCAAAGGGGGAGAATCCAACAAAAAGAAAAACCCATGACAATGATAAGTCAATACATATCAGTTATAACCATCAATGTTAATGGTCTCAATTCACCAGTCAAAAGAAATAGACTGGCAGAATGGATCAAGAACAAAATCCAAGGCGATACTCTTAAGTGAAATAAATAGGACACACATGTATAAATACCGAAAAGTTTCTCTGGCGTGAGAAACTGAAAGTGTAAATAAGGACTAAAATGTATAATAGGTAATGTGAAATAGGAAGAAAAGGTCCAAAGGGGTAGGGGTAGTGGGAGGGGCAGAGGAAAGGAAAGAAGGGAAAGGAAAAGTGATGAGAAATGGAAAAAATGGAAATAAAGTCTTTCTAAATAGGGAAGGGTGGAGGGGATGAAGGGAGAGCTAGGAATGGGGAAAAAATAAGAACCAAGATACATTATGTAAAGGTACAAGTTCCCAATGAGAAATGTAATTGTGTTGTGTACCTACAATGTACCAATAAAAGAATTCAATAAAGTGCAAAAAAAACACAAGAAAATAGTAAAAACTGAAAAAAAAGCAAAATCCAACAATATACTGTATATAAGAAACACACTTAATTCAAAAAGAAACTCAGAATGAAAGTTAAAGGGTGGAAAACAATACTGCATGCAACAGGAACACAAAAACAGGAGTAGCTATCCTCTTTACAGATCAAGTGGATTTCAAACCAGCAATGATTAAGAGAGACAAAGAAGAACACTACATTCTTGTAAAGGGAACAATCCAACAGGAAGAAATGACAATCACAAACATATATGCACCAAACACTAGTGTGCCCAACTATATAAAACAAATATTAATGGACATGAAAAATCAAATAA